CAGCACAATAAGAAAGTAAACGAGACTGCAGGTCTCGGATATATTCCAAGGGATATTCGATCTAATCAAAAATCAAATTTTCAGAACCAACCCTTTAAGGGCAATAGAACCCGAGGACAACCCAGTTCTAGACCATATCAACAGCCACCTAGAACTGGACCAAACTGGTTCGATAGACTGGTTCAGAGGCACAAAAACGGTTATGGACAAACGCCTAACCGGACTTTTTACAAAAGAACTAGAGGCTTTCACGGTAAATGGAAACCCAAATACGTTGATACTTATGATAACCGGGTTTGCATGCATTGTGGCAAAATTGGTCATCTACGGTATCAATGTCACTCTCGGCAAAAGACTTTAGAAAGATGCTATGATCATGTTAGATATTCCTCAAACAATTACAAAATGGAACCCAAGCAAGTCTGGGTTCCACGCGCTAACCCTTAATCCTGGAACAGCGCCTAGTGAGGGGGAACAATCACTGGTTACTTGATAGTGGTTGTTCTAAGCACATGACGGGAGACAAATCTTTATTCCTCTCACTACGGCCATTTAGCGGTGGAAAGGTGACATTTGGAGACAACGGCAAAGGAGAGATCATAGCCGTGGGCAAAGTTGGAAAGTCACCTAGCCATGCTATTGATAATGTATTTTTAGTCAAGGGTTTGAAATTTAACTTACTAAGTATTTCTCAATTTTGTGATCGAGGTAATAGTGTTGTTTTTTATCATAACGTTTGTCGCATTGTTAATAACGAATCACAACAAGTTATACTTGAAGGCAAGAGGCTCGAAAATACATATAAAGTAGATCTTGATTCATTGCCTAATATTAGTATGACTTGTTTGAGCGTTATTGATAACGATCCTTTGCTATGGCATAAAAGGCTTGGACACGCTAGTTTTTCATTAATAAATAAACTTAAAAATAATGATTTAGTTATTGGACTGCCGAACATGAAATTTTCACTTGACCATGTTTGCTCGGCTTGTGCCACCGGAAAACAATCTCGATCATCTTTTAAAACAAAGAATTTGGTGAGCACAAGCAAGCCCATAGAACTAATACACATGGATTTGTGTGGTCCAATGTCAGTCCGTAGCCGAGGAAACAAAGAATATGTTCTGGTTATTGTTGATGACTTTTCAAGATTTACATGGACTATCTTTCTTGCTAGCAAGAAAGATACTTTTAATGAGTTTGCTATTTTTGTAAGGAAAATTGAGCATCAAACAGGTCTACGACTAATCAAGATCCGATCGGATCATGGAACTGAGTTTGACAATTCTCTCTTCGATGCCTTCTGCAAAGAACGAGGGATAGACCACAACTTCTCCGCACCTAGAACTCCACAACAGAACGGAGTGGTAGAACGGAAGAATAGAACTCTGGAGGACATGACTAGAACTATGCTTATTTCCAGCGGTCTAGCTAGGAGTTTTTGGGCAGAGGCTCTAAACACAGCATGCTACATCATTAATCGAGCCATGATACGTCCACTCCTAGGGAAAACACCCTACGAACTGCTCAAGGGGAGGAAGCCCAACTTAAGTCATCTAAGAACTTTTGGGTGCAAATGTTTCGTCCACAACAATGGGAAAGACAACATCGGCAAATTTGATGCTAGAAGTGACGAGGCAATCTTTCTCGGATATTCCCCACATAGCAAGGCCTACAAAGTTCTAAACAAACGCACACAATGTGTGGAGGAAAGCATTCATGTAATCTTTGATGAAGCACTTGCCCCAAAATCAATCCAAGCCGATGATGGTGAGCTAGGGATCACTCGCAAGAAATCACAATCTCAAGGAGGTGAAGGAACTGACAATCAAACTGGTGAACCACCTCTAACAAATGAAAATGAACAATCTGGAACTGAAGAAGAACCTGGACAGAACACTGACACTGGACCTGTAGAACCGGTAGAACCAGTTTCAGATACTCTCAACAACTTGGTGGACCAACCCAACGCTCCTAGGGGTTGGAAGCTTCATAGATCACATCCGCTGGATAATCTCCTCACCGATCTAAATCAGGGAGTAACAACTAGATCTAAACTTAAAAACTTTTGTGCTTTCTCTGCTTATTTATCTCTTATAGAACCGGAGAACCATGAAGTGGCTCTCTCCGACACTGACTGGGTTCTAGCCATGCAGGAAGAACTAAATCAGTTTGAAAGAAATAAGGTGTGACATCTAGAACCGAGACCCAAGAACAAGACTGTGATAGGTCTCAAGTGGGTATTCAAGAACAAGCTCGATGAACATGGTCAAATCACAAGGAACAAAGCTAGGCTTGTTGTCAAAGGTTATAACCAACAAGAAGGAATAGACTTCAACGAAACATTTGCACCGGTGGCTAGATTAGAAGCAATCCGAATGCTCATTGCATTTGCGGCTCATATGGGTTTCACCCTCCACCAAATGGATGTCAAGACGGCCTTCTTGAATGGATATCTAAAGGAAGAGGTATATGTAGAACAACCACCGGGCTTTGAAAATCAAGATTTTCCTAATCATGTTTTCAAATTAGATAAAGCACTTTATGGCCTCAAACAAGCACCTCGTGCTTGGTATGAACGCCTATCTAAATTTCTTTTGGAAAATGGTTTTGAAAGAGGAAAAATAGATAAAACTCTTTTTCTAAAAATAAAAGATCAAGCCCTATTGGTTGTTCAAGTTTATGTTGATGATATTATTTTTGGTGCTACTAACGATTACCTTTGTGAAGAATTTTCTTCTCTTATGAGTTCCGAATTTGAGATGAGTATGATGGGGGAACTTAATTTCTTCCTTGGACTACAAATCAAGCAATCAAGCAAAGGAACTCAAATATCTCAACAAAAGTACCTCAAGGAACTCCTAAAGAAGTACGGAATGAGTGAAGGCAAAACCATGACTACACCTATGGGAACAAATGATAGGCTGGATGCGGATGAACAAGGAAAGAGCATAGACCAAAAGATGTATCGAGGAATAATTGGGTCCCTACTGTACCTCACTGCCAGTAGACCTGACATTGTTTTCAGCATAGGTCTATGTGCTCGGTTCCAGGCTAATCCCAAAGAATCTCACCTCAAGGCTGTGAAAAGGATCCTCAAATATCTCAAAGGAACTGCTGATTTATGCTTATGGTATCCTCGTAATGATGATTTTAACCTTATTGCATATTCAGACTCTGATTTTGCAGGTGATTTGTTAAATAGAAAAAGTACGTCTGGAACAGCTCACTTCCTAGGTCCCTGTCTAGTTTCTTGGAGCTCAAAGAAACAAAATTCAGTTGCTCTTTCAACAGCCGAAGCTGAGTATGTAGCAGCCGCATCTTGTTGCTCTCAATCATTGTGGATCATGCAACAAGTAAGCGATTACGGGGTTGATTTAAAGTGCACGCCAATCCTATGCGATAATACAAGTGCAATTAGCATATCAAAGGACCCGGTCATGCATTCTCGGACAAAACATATTCATATACGACATCACTTTCTAAGAGATTGTGTGGAAAAGGGACTAGTCAGGCTCGAGTATTGCAACACCGACAAGCAAATTGCCGACATTTTTACAAAGCTTCTGGGAAGAGAAAGGTTTGAAATAATTAGACTGGAACTCGGTCTAATTATTTCCTAACTTATTCGTTCTACTTCTTATTTCCTAATCTCAATTACTAATCTCTTTTTCTGGTCGCGGAGAGGGCATGCAGGACCTTCCGGCATCATCTAAGGGGGAACAATTAAATGTCTTGATTTGGGAAATATTTTGATTCCTTTTGTTGAATGACAAAAGGGGGAAAAAGTGGGTGCCCCTTTATGTGTTGATTTCTCTACTATTTATACTTGATACTAATCTGCAGGGATATCTTTATTATGGCACCTAATGTTTGTCATCAACAAAAAGGGGGAATTTGTTGAGTATGTAGTTTTGTTGATGACTAACCATGCAGGTGGAACGACAGACAGAACCAAAGGACTTAACTATCCTTAGGTCCAAATGAACATTATTATTGTGTTGTTCACTAACCATGCAGGTGTCACTAATGCGGGTTCTATAAGAACCATGGACAGAACTATTCCAAGTTCTTACATCTATGTGCTTAAAGTGGGGTGTTTGCATGATATACGTAAATTGACTTGCATGCACAAATTGATTAATTTTTATGGAAATGAATCCCTCTTTTATGATATTAGTGAGATACACGTAGCATCACTTGAATTGACTTGCATGCATAAATTGATTAACTTTTATAAAAAGGAAAGTTCCCTTTTAAATTCTTATGACCGTAGTAGCATGCTATTAATTTGAAAATGATCATGGCAATTGAATATCTTATGGAAATATCCTTAATCAATGCATTCACTTAGAAGAGGAAAGTTCCCTTTTGAAAAGGAAAATTTATTATGGCCGTTGCTCCCTTATTTGATAATTTCCAAGCCTTTTGACCGAAGACTACCTTATTGGTAAATAAATTCGAAATGCTTGGAATCTTTATTAACTCCACGTAAGTTGATGCATGATTAATTTGCTACCTTGATATTTTGGTTGGCTGCCTTATATATTGAGCTTGGATATGGGAAATATTATGAAAGGAAATAAATTCAAAATATCAAGGCAACTCCCAAGATTAGAAGATCAACTATTCAATGAAGAATGCTCAAAACGGTCTACCCAAGACAGCCTATATAAACGAAGCAGCCAAAGAGAAATAAGTGTGCTGAACCGAGAAAAATACTCAGAAGAATCATTCAAAAAAAGGATCAAGTCCTTGGCGCCTGAAACTGCCCGCTCGGAGTTCTAGATAGAGTTTCTCTTTTCCCTTTCATATTGTACTTGGATTATTGAGGCTTAATTGGCTAGAGTAGCTACCTCGGGTTAAGTGTGTCACTACTAGAAAAATGCCTTACAGTGACACTTTTATAGTGACACTTTTTGATAAAATACCATTAATGACACACAAGTGTCATTGATTTCTAACACAAAAATTTTACAGCCGAATAGCGACACTTATTTTTTTTCAATACGGAAGGGTTCACTTATTGGGCCGGCTGGGTGTGAGCAAAGTTTTTTTTAAACGCCCAACACATAGGTTTTTTTCACATACCCACTTTACTCCCGATCGATTTTCTTCAATTCGAGAGCTCTACTCGCACTAACCCTATACTTCAAGATCCGTCTTCTCCATCTTCTGCCAGACCAGAGATGGATCGATTTACTCCATCGTTGCCTTACTCCATCACTGTACTCCATCGCGACGGTCGACGATATCATCGAGGACGTAGATCCAGCAGAAACGGTCGATGATTTCGAGCCTGGAAGAGTCCCAGACGGTGTGTGGCCGTCGTTCTTGGTCCGGCCGAGTGACATCGCACGTCTCCTCGCTGGTTCTTCTTCATCAGCGATTATCATCTATTCCAGGTATGTAATTTTTCCTTCATCTTTCCTCCCTAGCTTAGGTCATCCTTCAACAATATCATCTAATTTGGTTTAGTTTTAATCGGAAATTGATAAACTTCACCAATAATGTGGTTGTTCTTGTTCATAGCAACCTGCCCCCCGACCTAGCTAATTGACAGACTAAGTCGATGATTTTTCTCCTTTTGGGAATACCAGCCGATGAACGGAGATGGTAGCCAGCAGGTACTCGATCTTTAACTTGACACCTCTTATCTTTACTTCCTTTAATTTTAATTTGTAGTTTTTTAACCTAAAAATGAGGCCATTTTGAAACCAAAACTGATTTTTCAGAATATATACCATAACCTTAAATCTATTTACAGAATGAGGAGTAGATGTTGTTGGTTACTAACTAGCAGCAGGAAAAAGAAGGTTAGGTGCTTTGTAAGTCTTGTGAGGAGGAAGGTGCAGCTGATTTTTGCCAGTGAGAAGGATGACCTCTGTACTGGTGCAGCCTCACATGGGCAGGTTGATTAATTTCATGTATTGGCAGAATTCTCAAAGCTGCTTTTAATTAACTTGAAGTAGAAATTAGCATGTATGAATTTCGATTTTTACTAGTGATTGTATTATTTGTGAATTGTTGATGACTAGAGCAGTATACTCTAGTCACAATGACTAAAGTATTTTGTATTTTTAATTAACCTGGGGTATATTCTCAGCTTTGTAAAGTTTAACGATGCATCTGAAGATGGACGAACCATGTTGCTGCAACAAACAATTCAACAATCAATGAACTCGCTGCCGCATCAAACCATTGGTTTGTTCTTTATCGGTTTTTCATGCTTCTAGAAAACTTAAAGCCATAAAGGGTTGTGTGTACGTGATTATAAAGAGTTTCCATGAATTAGTCAAAGCTTCAATGGTGTCTTGGAGATTTTGTAAGTTGTTTATAAAACTAAATTGTCACCTTCTACTTGATGTTTGATGTTTGATGTTTCTGCTTCAATTTGTGTTTCCTAGATACATAAAGTTTGATTAGAAGTTAAACCAAGGAATATATACAATAACAATTGGCAAAACTATGCAAACATTATAGCATTAACTTGATGTTACGTAGACATAATCATGATTCTTAATTTATCTTTGAGAAAAAATAAGAGATGGAGTGTGACTTATATTTCATTTACAATAATAGTTGACTTTGCTACTTGAAAAGGCATAGGTTGAAAAAAACTAAGAGTTGGGCTGTGATTTTTATTCCATTTTTTATCAGTTTCTCTACCTTCCTATCTTATATACATTGTTTTAGCACACTTTCTTTTATTTTAACTTGTGTTTTGTTGTTTTGACTTATGCTTGAAGGGGGCTGCACACTTCAACTTGAATTTAGGTGATCTCTTCTTGGAAACCTCTATTTACCAGATTATCTTCTTTATTTTTTTGAGAACCTCCTTCAATTTGACTGATAAAGAGCACATTTTTCTCATTTTAATGAAAACCATATCTGGCACGCTGGCACGCTGGCATGCTGGCACTGATGCCTAAGTTTGCTTCAGTTACCGAATCTTTGTGGTGCATGACATTTGTATTCGTTGACCATTGGTTCAAATATACTCAACCATGTGAAAACATATACTATTAATATATTCTTGTGATTGTAATGCCATGCAGCCCTGACAAGACCCTATCAATGTTTTAAAACTAGGCTGGACCAGCTGGTTGGATTGGTTACTAGAGGTACCTGGTCAAGTAAGATGTTAGATTGTTGTGTTATTAAACCACTTGAAAGTGGAACCACATGACTGGGTAAATAACTGAACCAGTGAATTATGCTTCTGTTGACGCGGTTCAATACTTTTTCCTTATCAAGGAAAGCAGTTACAACCTCTATTTACCATTATGTATGTTTACATAATCTGATTTGTAATTCATAATTTCTAGTGTACGTACACTTTGCAGGTGATGGTAAGAGGTTAGGTGAAGCCTGAAGTAATGTGGGGGGAAGTGGCCGGAACGTCTTCATACCCAAACCACTTAGACTAATCGCCGGATCACTCCAGAAAAGTCTCTCATATTCGCAGGGAGGATAAGTATGAATTGGCGGCCTGTGAACTTTCTATCTCAATGTTAGCAATTAATTGTTTGCAAGGCGCAAACCGATAGAAAACGAAGGATCTTGTTCTTCATTCGGAATTGAATTCTTCCTTTCCAGCATTCCAAGCTTTCATGTCAAAGACAAACATGGCTTCTTCACATTCAACTGAAAACTGCCTTGGATGGGCTGCCAGAGACCCATCCGGAGTTCTTTCTCCTTACAATTTAAGCCGCAGGGTTACCGGGAGTGATGATGTTTCGCTAGATATTTCCTATTGTGGCATTTGCTATGCTGATGTGGCGTGGACAAGGAGTCTTCATGGGCCTTCCAAGTATCCTTTAGTGCCTGGACATGAGATTGTAGGAATTGTGAAAGAGGTTGGCTCCAACATCCAGTGCTTTAAAGTGGGTGATGCTGTGGGAGTTGGAACTTACGTCAACTCATGCAGGGAGTGTGAGTACTGTTAGGAAGGGTTAGAAAATGAGTGTTCAAAGGGATGATACTCAAGTTACTAAGGGAGGATACTCAAGTTACATTGTTGTTCATGAAAGGTACTGCTACAAAATTCCCGAAAGCTACCCTCTTGTAATGGAAGTTCAATAAAAGGCCATCATATAGTCTTGATTGATGAAAAAAAACACTTTGCAGGTGATGACTTAATTTTGTGCAGCATAAAATGTGATGTCTAAGTATATTAGAAGAAATGTGAAGGCCCTATGAAGAATGGTGTAAAAGTTACACTTGTTTGCGTTTTGTTCTTTATTACTTATGAATTATGTAGTATGTACAAGTTCAACAACAATGTAGCTTGGAGTTTGACATGAATATTATGCTTTAAATGTTCAATGTATGATTTGAGATTTATTGACTTTATTATAGTTTATGGGATCAGTTAATATTGAATTGGAATTTTTTAAATATAATTGAAAAGGATTTTCTAAATTACCCATGAAATGGAATGCTGAAATAGTGCAAAACAAAGTGATACCAAAGTGTCACTAAAGTATGGTGTTGCTTGAATGGAAAACATAATTATGTGATACCACGGTGTCACTAGAATATATGATGTAAAAGTGTCATCGAATAGTTATGTCACCTATGTATCACTAACTATTGATACCATAGTGTCACAATTTTGTGACACTTGTAGTGACACTTAAAAAGTGTCACTATTTCCCACTTTCATTGACACTTTTTTAGTGTCACAGAAACTTTCAGTGACACTAATTTGGTGTCACTGTAGGGCATTTTTCTAGTAGTGTGTGTGAGAGCTTTGTGACAAAGCTGAGAGGCTCTCTACCCGCAAGGTAGAGATGCATAACTCTTCCTAGAGAGGATAGAGTTGGGGAGGCTCAAGGGTAGATTAGGAGAATCACTCTTGTAACTCTTTCAAAGGCTTGTTTAGTGAAGTTGTTTAAAATTCATCCGAGGGAGGTCGAGGTTTTTTAATCCCTTTGAGCCAAGGGATTTTTCCTCGTTAAATTCTTGTGCACTTTACTATTTTGCAATTCCCTTTATCCCACACTAGAACTCGGCGAAAAACTGCCACGGTTCCACACACACACAATTCACCCCCCTCTTGTGTTGCTAACCGTTTTCATCATTTATGTATATCCGTAACATAAAATTAGATGTCTTAAAGAACTATATTTGGATCCCCATTGTTTGTAATTTTGAGTCGGATGATCTTAAAAATGTAAATGATTTTTTAAAGTTCCACTCAAGTCCTTCAGTGGAACTTTAAAATGGTCATTGTATCCATTCACGACTCAAGTAACATTATACTTGTATGATTTATAAACTTAGCCAATTCAAAATGTTAATACCAACGAGAATACTTACTATTGCCAATTTGCCATTGCAATAGTACCTAAAAAGAATTGAGATCATACGATGTCGTGAACGAAAATTGTGTATTTTTGCATAGGGAACCCATTGCAACTCGAAATGAGATCATACGATGTATTCAAAACTTTGCCAGTATTATTGCACCCCAGTCGTGTATAACACTGTATTTGACTAAGATCAACTATGGAAAAATAAATACTCTATAACTTATAATGGTATATGGCTTGTGGAAATTGTGGGTTGAATGTAATATACTACAGGATTAAGTTGTTGGTTGTCGAAAATGAAGACTTGTCATTTTATCCGGATTCTTCTCATATATTAATGAGAATAGGTTAGATTATGAAACTTTAATTGAATTTTAAATAGTCATTACATAAAGGTAATACTTTATGTAAGCCATGGGGTTATAAATACCCCTCATTCGTGTGATTGTGTGATTGAAAATGTCAGGAACAAATATGGGTTTCTAAGTCTTGAATGAGAATTGTGTGATTAAAAATACTAGTAATCCATATTCATTTGATATCACATAATTCGAGATGGAACTTAATTTAGTTATGGTATACACGGCTCCATAGGGAATATGTACACAGTAGGTGTGCGTCAATATTCCCACAGATAGTCGATAATGTGTAGTCTACAATTCGAAACATTGTATATCAAAATACCGATTCATTACGTTTTATCACAAGAGAATTATGGCCATACTTTGTAGAATCTTCCACCGATGTCGGAAGATATTCTCTTAGATAGTATCTAAGAAAATATGGGACTGTTTTCGACATCGTGAAGAATCTCGATATTAGTTAATATCGAGATTGGTAGTTGTAAAATGAGTGCATTGCCAAACATGTTTGGCGAACTATCGGTTGAATACCCCTGTGAATTGTCAATGACTTGGGTTAACTATTTTAACGTATATGGCGTTAGATTTAGACTTCGTTGGGATCATACAAAATGTATGAGATCATAGATATGGGCAGATCATAGTCCATTATACACAGGTAAGCCCACGTACAAACGACCATTAGAGTAGGGAATATCACCTACTAAATTCTCATTAGTAGGTCAAACATATGGACTTAATTCAGTTGAACACTCATTGTAACCCTTATCACAGGCAATTTACTTATACGTGTCAATAGTAGATCAATGACTCTACAGGGAAATGTACTAGGGTATGATCTAAGCCTCATTGGCTTAAGTCGTGAACACTGTTCGTGAGGTCATCATTTCGTGAATGGGACCGAGTCCAAATTTAATAGTCAACGGTCTTAAGACTTTGTGAATGAGTTAGATTATATTCCCTATTCAATACTTGATCGTATTGAATACACATGGGTTGAGTCGATTAATCATTAATGTGACTTCCCTATTCATACAACTGACATCGTTATTATTATGTCATAAAGGTATGATTTCACAGTTTTGGAATAAAAGTACTTAAATATGATGATATTTCGTAATTTTTGAGATCAACCCATCGTATGATTTCACATTGATCTTCGTTTTATATTCATATACACAATTCTAGTCCTGAGAATTTTCAACATGTTTCAAGTGAAATCATATAACAATGAATACTAATTTGTTGTAAGCCTTAATTAATAAGAGTTGGAAATGATCCCATTAATTGGACTAATGGGATTACATACACTTGAGTCGTGAATGCGAATTGTGTACTCATTTCATAGGGACCCTATTCACTTAAACCCATTCATATTTGGGCTGAATATAAATATCCATGCAAACTTCCCATAGTGATACTTTTTAATGGATTATAATTTCAACCCAATTTTATTTGAAATGAGCCCATTATGGTTGATGGGCTCATCTTAGGTTGTACTAAGATGCCGTAAGCAAGCCAAATGCAAAACTCGTGGAACTCTCTAAAATTAGTGTATCAAAATACACTGTTTATTTAGATAATCAACCGATGAGAAACTCTATATGACATATTATATACTTCCAAATAGTCTTTGGATAGTGTTCTACTAATGAGTCCCTTGATATCATCTTCATGGGTCACTATTTAAGTCTGGGCTACACCAAAAGCTCATGGGTTATTTTACATCTGTCAGGACAATTAATTAGACAAGTATTTTTATAAATCATACAAAATATTATCATTGTCCAGATGTTTTTACTAATTAAAAACAAGTCTCATAATTTTGTAGTACTACATGTCCCTAATACACAAGTCTATATTATTGGACTAGACCATATAAGATGTTCCCATATATTGTCTATGATCCTGTTATTGACAAAAATCGTGTGATGTAGTCCAAACATGGGTAATGTATACCCCCTCCATATTTAGTGAAATGATCTCGTGAGTAGGCTAACCCCACGATCCATTCTATAACTAGTCCCGAAAGACTTGTGTATGAATAGACAAGTCTATTTGTCTGTATTTAAAATCTATTTTGAATCCAGTCAAAATATCAAAATTTATAAACCCGATGGCACCCAAGAAATTATGTTAATGGAAAGTTTAACAAATAATCCTCGTAAAGATTATTTGTATGACTTAATATAGGGTGTACATACACAATTAAGATCGTATGACATATAGTGGAATGGGTAAAAATCGGGTTCAATATAAGCCATGATGTATAACTTCAAGCCATTAAATTGGAGATGCCATTAACTCATTTTGGTATTCCAGTCCTATATTTGTGTACCATACATGTTAAACCATATACTGTTTTTTACGTATCACGTACTATTGGTGACCACATATAAGACTTGATACTTACCATACCTATATGAGCATTTAATAAATTGAAAATTGATGAGGGTACTCATTAACCCATATAATACACAATTCAAGTTGTACATTACTACACTATACCAGATAACATACCTTTAATCTGCAAAAACAATCTTCCAAACAATTTGATAATTTTATAGAGGGGTATCTAACTTGGCTTAGTGAAGATCATAGTGATAATCTTAAGACAGGGTGGAGACATTGATAGTTTAATACGGCCCAATTCACGACTCAACTCAGATACCCTTAGACTATACACCATCTGTATGAAGTAATTACCAAATAACGAAACTTTTCGTTCTGACATTCCCAAAAACGGGAGTTGCCATTAGGTTACCGAAACACGTTAGTCGGAATCTCCAATTCCGACAGGAATTTAGGTTTTTTAAAAAAACACCCTCCTCCAGTCGGATTAGGCACTTCCGACCAGGGGAGTGTTTGAAATTTTCTAATGTTCCATTAATTTATTTGTCTAACCCGAAGGAATTAAAAAACAGTAATAATAATAAAATAAATTACCTAGTCGGAATTGTGTAATCCGACTAGGGGTGTTCGATTTTTTTAAAAATTTGCTTTTTATCCTTGTCGGAAATGAGAAATCCGACCAAGGAATATGTTTTAGAATTTTTGTTTTTTTAAGAATTTTTATGAAATTTTATAAATTAAGCTATATTTTGTTTTCTTTTAAGAAATTTTATAAATTAAATATTTTATAAATTAAATTGTTATTTAGAAGTATTTATTTTACTAATTTTTAAGTCATTTAATTAGAGAAGTTCACATTTTATAATATGACAGGTTTAAGTAATTTTTAACTCATTCAATTACATAAGCTCACATTTTATATATTTATTTTTTGTAGTATATAATATTATTGAAATTTATGAATGTATCTATTTTGTACAGTCATAAACTCGGGTGAAGAGTCGGACGACCCAGACTGAATGCCTTGATGACATGGTGCTTTGGTCGGCTGATGTGATGCTCATAATTTGCAATATGCTGAAAGGCATTACCGCAATTGATTTCTTCGGTAGTTCAATATTTTGCAAGATATTCCGAAAAACCCAAAGCAAAGTAATGATCATCACA